ATTTAATCTAGAAAGAGACTTGGAGGAGCTGGAAAGATTGCTAGCAGAAGGGTCAGATAAAGAACAAGAACAAGCTGAATTGCAGGAACCAAGTTGTGGTTTGACTGTTACCACGACGTGGCCCCCTGTTCTTTCGGTTTCTGTTTCGAAGCATGGGGTGACGACTCCAACTTTGGAGAAAGTTCTGAGGCACGATCCATTTTTGATTAGTATCCAACCGGTTCCAACCCTTCTCAAGATTCTTGGGTTTTATGAATTCAAGCTCGTTTGGCCAATTTTTGAAGCAAAGAGCCAAATTTTACAAATTGGTCCAAAGAAAATATTTAATGCAATGGATGGATGGGCATCGAATTTATTAGAAGTTTATTAAGTTGAGAGTCCAGCTAAAGACTCGCACAAAAAGAAGCGCTTGCGGGAGGCAACCCGTCATTAGAGTTTTCTTTTCTTTTTCTTTCTAAACTTCTAGTGTTTAAGGATAATTTAGGATTTTTTTTTATTTTAATGCTCTTTTTATTACTTGGTTTTTGTTTTTGATCTTTTCAGTTTGAGTGTAAGGATGCATGTGAGGGTCTAGAGTCAAGGCTCACGAAGCGAGAAATCGAGTCTAGGCGAGAGAGGAAACGAAGTTTTGAGTCAAGCTATGAATCCAATTGATAGAAGGGTTATATAGTGTTTATTACCTAAAGAAAAATGAGGGAAATTATTAGTTTATATGACCCCCATACATCAGAAATGGACTTGGGCAGAATAAAAGTTTTGTCACACAGCGGTCTACTCGCCGAGTGCATCTTATGGACTTGCCGAGTCCATGTGAAAATTCATGATTCTTCTGCCATTTACGCTTCAACTCGGTGAGTCTACATACTTACTCGACGAGTCACTCATTCTTCTTACTTTTGAGCTCAAGATTTGATGACATTTGATATGGGCATTGGTTCTATTCTTTGAAGATCATTTTCCGAGCATTTCCAATAGTTTTTCCCTTATGTTTGGAGCTTTTATAAAGACTGTACCACACGAGATTTCGACACCCAAGACATGGATGAGCTGTTCCTATCTCTAAAGTAAATTGAAGATGGAGCTAAAGAGAATAGATATGAACCTCGCCACTACTATCCCAGGGGAGTTTGTTCCAATTCTCACTTTATTTTTATTGTTCTTTATCATGCATGATATGCAATGGGGACATTGCATAAATTAAGTGTAGGGTAGGGGTTGGTTGCTTACACTAGTTAATTTTTAAAGTTTTGCATAAAATTTGCTAGGATTAATTTAGAAAATTTTGGTAAAGCAGTTAGGGATCATGCTAGTATTATATTTGATGATTGCATGAAAACCCAAATGTTTAGTTGAGCCTATATACGTTCTAGTGCATTTGTGGCTTCCTTATTCTAGTGAAATCTTGGGATAAAAACACGACCTCGCTTAGTTTGAAGAATGCAATATGTTTAGCATCGTGTACCAGAAATGTATCCAGGAAAATTTTATCTTTAACCAATAAAGGTTGAAGTTGAGCACCCCTGCTTAAGCATGTAGGGTTTTGAGTGAAAAAAAAGTGAGGTACATGTAATAAAAAAAGGGAGAATTACAAGAAAAAGTTTGAAGAATTTTTGGAGCATCAAAGTTAAGTATGAAATTAGAAGATCAAAAATTCTGAAGAAATTAAAAAGTTGAAGATACTAGAAATCAAACAACAAGGTGGTGAATTCAAAGAGATCAAAGAACAAATATTCAAGGAAGTGAAGAATTCAAAGAGCTCCATAGTGGTATCGAAAAGTTGTAATTCTAGATTATATATGCTTGGGTTGCTTAATTAAAAATACCTTGAGGGTAAGAGGTTTTCTGAGGATGGATTCGGAGGGTTGCATAAAATGAGCATAGTTCGGGGTGAGTGGGCGAATGTTTATGAGGATTGTGAGTATTTGGAGTATGGGGGGTTTTTAGGAAAAATTTTAGACACAAATGCATGCGTTGCGGTCTTGGCATAATGGCTGGGTTAGATTGGAGTTGTCATACATAATTCTAATGTCTTAAAATTCAGTTTTGCTTGGGGGCAAGCAAAAGTCAAGTGTGGGGTATTTTGATATGTGCATATTTAGTTTGTATTAAGTATAGATTTTTATTCATTTATTAGCTAAATTATCGCATATTCTGGACAAAAGGTACTTAAAAGTGTTTAAATTGCATTTTCAATCCAAAAATGAAGTTCGGAAGCAAAAGGAAGCAGGAGAAGCGGTTAGGAGCTCGAGAATGGAATAAAGAAGAAAAACACTAAAAATGGCACCTACTCGGCGAGTCCAATCGAAGAATCGAGAAGATAATGACTCGGGATTCCAGATAGTTATCGCAATACGGGGAATGTGAGAGGGACTCGACGAGTCACCACTTGACTCGACGAGTCGATTCGTTTATTTAAAGATAATTCCACAAATCGATTGAGGGGAATTCTGGGACGATTCAGAAGTACTTTGCTACGATTGAGAAGCCAGAAAAACCCTAGAAGACAACGAAGGAAGCTAGAATTCGATTCCGGAGAGTAATTAAGGAAAAATTTCATCATTCCACTTATTCTTTTGTTTTATCATTATGATTAAGCAACTTGACTTTGTTTGTTTGTTGTTATTTACTTTAATTATGAACTAAAACCTTTAGACTTTTGTTTGGGGATACAAAGTTGACAATATGGTTTGATTGATTGGTAGGATTAATTCCAAGTTGGTTAATTTTTGTTATTTTAGCTTGCTAAAGAACCTTGTGTGTGAATAATAATTAATTTTCTGTTAATAGGAAGATAATTGATTAGCATGAACATCTATTGATTATTGACCTCATATGCTATGTGATCACTATACTATATGTCTAGGATTAATGAATATGAAACTAGAAATAATAAGAAAATTGAGTAAATTCATGTGCAAGCTTGTAAGATGACCATCAAACAAGAGGTTAACTAAAATAATAAATTAGTTAATTATTGCAAGTCTAACTTAACCCGAATAACTAATCTAGTGAATATAATTAAATTAGACAATTGGCCACTGTTTAAGTTAGTTTATTTGCTAAGGATTAGGGTAGTGAACACAAATCTAATCACATGAATCGGTAACCAACGAAAGAATTAATCCATTGCACTATTACCTTGAAATAAACCATAGAGTTAACCAAGTTGAACTAAACAGAAGTTCCTTTCCAATTATTGAATCTAGTTGAGTCGTTATTTTCTAGTCTCAAATTAGTAATAGTTAGTAAGTTTCTAGTCTTGTAAAACTATAGAAAAACCCCTATTTCTTAATTAACTTAGATAAAATTAGTTTTTTAATTTAATTTTCCGTTCCCTGTGCTCGATACCCTACTTATTTAGCTATACCACAATTGATAGGTTCACTGCCTTTTGTGTGTTATTTAATAATTAAAAGTAGGTATAAAACTAAGTGAGTTTGCACACATCACTATCCCAATAACATGATCTTTGGGCCCGAAGGGAACGTGCTTACATGTTAATGGGCCTTCTATGGCCTAATTTCATGTAAAAGGACTTTCAATAGCTCTATTGTGCTATTGGGCCCTAATGGTCCATTAGTACTGCTAGTGAGGTCGAGAAGTCAAATGCGAGTCGGGCCAAGTGCCTTTCGCATTCCCGATAGCCTTGAGTAACTTATGGAAATAAAGGGCGCTTCTTACCCTCCTTTCTCCTCGGTTGACCGGCTTATGAGAATTCGAGTAATCAGATTCGTGGCGTTAATCAAGAGAAGTCAGGGTGGTTGGATTATGTGAGTAGTACGGACGACGCCTTAAGGATCGTTCGTAACCTGTAGTTATAAACTAGTCATTTTTATTAATGCGTGATTGTAACCACTCACAAACCCTAGTTAATCCAATGTCACCTGGGTAATCAAAAACATTCGTCATATCGGTATAACAATAAACAAGTCATGTAATTTGCGTATTGGGGAAACATCGGGTTTTCCCGGAAAGTTCAACATTTTCACCTATGTGATGTATACAAAGTTCAACAATTATACATGTTTTCAAAATCGACAAGCATATTTATGGATCTTCACACTTCTTATAAACAAATACTCTTTTCAGAAAATATCAGATTTTCTAGGTTTTTTAAACTTCACAAAAATCATTTTTTCCATAACATTACTTATGAACTCACCAACATTTCATATGTTGACGTTTTTCAAAATAACTTATATTCTCAGGTAACAGGTAAACCGAAGAATAAGTACCAAGTTATGTCATGGTGTTTTGCTTAAATTATCTATTAGACAGTCTATGTTATGGAATTGTAACGTTTAAAACAATGTACTGAATGTAAACAATATCAGTTGTAATATTCCAATGCATGGTGATGATTTGTGTTATGATTCATGTATATTCATTGTGATGGTATTCAATTTGAGTCACAAGAGCCCTCGAACGTTTCCGCCGTTCGGTTCGGGGGTGTGACAGGTTGGTATCAGAGCTCTGTTTATAGTGAAATAGCATTTCTAACCACACATTGATATGCAACTATAAACCAAAAGAGGGACTAACACAAATCTGAACAAAACAAGTAAAACATAACATAAAAACACCCTTGCTTGTATTAGGAAAAAGAACATAATAGCGAACCAAACAAGATAATGCTAGTATCTCGGTCAAGCTAGGACTGTTCTTAGTTGTATCAAGGAGTGGATGTAGCGTGATCAACTACATTCCCTCCAAGGCACAACTATCACATGTCCTGAGGAAATCGTGATAGATAGGGAACCTAAAAACATACCCCTTTACCTCCAAGAAGAGAACCTCAACTCAATATATGCAAATAGTTGTAGAGTCATAGGAGTAATGATAGTTTATTTGTATACTTCCTCCCAGTTGCTATGGAAGGGGAGCAACAGGGCCTCCAGTTTCATCAAGTCCTAGTAGCCTACGGGAGGGTCAAGGATGAGGCAGAGGTAGATCAAGGAAAGGCACACGACATTAGACCTAAAGAGGAATAGGACGAATACATGATGGTTGATCTCAATTATGATGAGTTGGACCAGGAGCCAGATGAAGAAAAAGGCGTAGAGGAGGCGTGTAGTGAACCTCACCAGTTGGAAGCCCCTTCAAATTTCCGCATGTTTCAAGGGGTGGATATAGACTACTTATGCGCCCTCGAGGAGGCATTTATCAACCTGAAGCTTCAACTCATCATGGCCAAGGCAAGGGCCACGCGAGCCGAGCGAAAAGTAGAGGTAATCACCCAAGAGGCGGATGAACTGACTGAACTTCTGGTGCGTCACATCGACGATTGAGTGTCATTGTCATCCTTAGTAATAGGACCTACTCTACTACCCGCTAGATAGGTTCCACCATACGAGGGACTAGTTACACTCGTCTTTAGTACTAGTACTAGGATTTATGCTATGTACCCCAACTCTATGTTTAAGTGACTACACTACTCATAGAGCCGTTATGCTGTCAAACTAGTACCGCTTATGTATGCTCTTTCGAGCAAAATTTTCATGTATCAGAGTGCGAGTAATAGTAATGAATGATTTTACATGTTTTATTGTAACGTTATAATCTGCTATGTGTTACGTATCCATGATTGTATACTAAATTGTAGAAGTACTTAAGTTTGTGTCACACACCTAGTCTATAGGATCACAACCTCACAAAAACCACAGACACTCAACATCTTTCCGTTCCATGACAGAAAGATGCCTCAACGACCCACTCGCGGAAACCCTAGGCCAACCCCACCCGAAGTCGACTCAGCTGCATTCCAGGCAGTTGTATCTGTTGCGGTCACTGCAATAATGGCACAAATTCACCAAGGGAACAAAGGAGGAGTCAACGGACAAGGGGTCGGAAGTTCGAACAACGGGATGAATCAAGGACCCACCAAAACATGTTCCTACAAAGACTTCACCAACATCAAACCACGAACCTTTAACAGCACTGGAGGGATGATCACCCTGAAACGATGGATCGACAAGGTGGAATCGGTATTCGAGATATGCAATTGTCCTGAGGAGATGAAGGTGAAGTTTGCCGCATGCACTTTCGTTGACCAAGCGCTCACTTGGTGGAACGGACACGTGGAATCCATGACACTCCCCGTAGCCAATTCCATGCCATGGACATAGATGAAAGAAATGTTGATCGCCGAGTATTGCCCTCGTGGTGAAATTCAGAAAATGGAACAAGAGCTGTGGAATCTCACTGTCCGGAACGCTGATATAGATGCCTACATATCATGTTTTAGCGAACTGTCTCTGTTGTGCCCTGGCATGATTACCTCAGAGGGTAAGAAGATCGAGTGATTCATCTGGGGACTAACCTCCCCGATCCAAGGAAACGTGATAGCTGCAAATCCCGAAACTTTCGACAGTGCCAAGAGATTGGCCAAGAAACTGTATGACCACAACAACAAGAAGGGTGAGAAGCCAGTGGAGACTGAAGTTAAGAAGGAAAATGATAGCAAGAAGTGGAAGAACAACAAGAGGAAGGGACGTCAAGGCCTCGAGTCGTCCAAGAAGCAGCAAACAGTGGCAGTTAATGCTGCAACCACTCAAGTTCCATCCACACCACATGCTCCAGCCTCAGCTGCTCCAAGTGCTCTTAGACCTTATTCTGATAATCTTCCCAAGTGCAACAAGTGCGGTCTCCATCACAATAGAGAATGCAGAGAGATGCAGTGCACCAGTTGCAATCGAAAGGGACACACAGCAAGGTATTGCAGGACCTACCCTCCTCAGAACCGACAACAGGGAAACAACAACAACAATAACCACAACAACAACAACACCAACACTGGCAGCAACAATGTAGGACCTAGCCACACCTGCTATGGATGTGGAAGGACTAGGCATTTCCATCAAATTTGCCCCAACAACAATTCCGGAAATGGAGGAACAGGAAGGGTGCTGACCATGGGTCAAGGAGAAGCAATTCAGGATCCCGCTGTTGTTACCGGTACGTTCCTCCTAAACCACACTTATGCATGCATCCTATTTGATACCGGAGCAGAGCGAGGTTTTGTGAGCAATAAGTTTAATCATTTGTGAAAACAACAACCCCAAATGCTCAATGATACCTTTACGGTGGAAATGGCCAATGGGAAAACCGAATCCACTGGGGAAGTTTACATCGGATGTACCCTAACTCCAAATCAACACGTCTTCCGAATAGACTTAAAGCCTATTTCCATTAGGAGTTTCGATGTGATTATTGGTATGGACTGGTTAAGCCCCCACCATGCTGAAATTATGTGTCACGAGAAGGCCATTCGCCTTCACCTTCCCAATCACGAAACCCTAGTTATTTACGGAGACAAACCTAGCACGAACATTCGCCTCATCTCGTGCGTCCAGGCACATAAGCATTTGCGAAAGAATGATTTGACGTTCCTGGCGCATATAGTGGATAAAACCAAGGAAGAGGTTAACGTTCGAGACATTCCAGTAGCATGCGAATTCCCAGACGTATTTCCTGAAGATCTTCCTGGAGTACCCCCAGAGAGACAAGTTGAATTCCGAATTGAACTTGTTCCAGGAGCAACTCCCCTCGCTAAATCGCCTTACCAACTAGCTCCTACTGAGATGCAGGAATTGTCCAGCCAACTCAGCGAACTCTTGGGCAAAGGATTCATCCGACCTAGCTACTCGCCATGGGGAGCTCCGGTTCTCTTTGTCAAAAAGAAGGACGGATCTTTTAGGATGTGCATCGATTACAGGGAGCTAAACAAGCTCACTGTCAAAAATCGCTATTCACTCCCACGAATCGACGATCTATTTGACCAACTCCAAGGATCCAGTTACTTCCCTAAGATACATCTACGATCCGGGTACCATCAACTCAAGGTCCGGGAAGAGGATATTCCCAAAACCGCTTTCCGAACTCGTTACGAACATTATGAATTTATCGTAATGCCCTTCGGTCTAACGAATTCCCCTGCCGTATTCATGGACCTAATGAATCGAATATGCCGACCATTCCTCAACAACTTTGTTATTGTTTTCATTGAAGACATTCTAGTCTATTCCCAAAGCGAAGAAGAGCATGGCCAACATCTCCGACAAATCCTGGAAACCCTGCGAACGGAGAAGCTATACGCAAAACTCTCCAAGTGTGAGTTTTGGCTCCGTAGCGTGAACGTTTTGGGTCATGTTGTTAGTCAGGAAGGAATACATGTGGATCCTTCTAAGGTCAATGCCATCGAAGGATGGGCAGTTCCAACAACATCCACAAAATTCGCCAATTCTTAGGCCTAGCAGGTTACTATAGGAGGTTCATTCAGAACTTCTCTAAGATCGCCAAGCCACTTACCTCGCTTACACAAAAGGGCGTACCCTTCAGATGGACAGACAAACAAGAAGATGCATTCCAAACTCTAAAGCGAGCACTCTGCAGTGCCCCGGTACTATCTCTACCATAGGGAACGGAAGATTTCGTGGTCTACTGTGACCCGTCAAATCAGGGTTAGGTTGTGTTCTCATGCAGCGTGGAAAAGTGATAGCTTACGCATCCCGTCAACTAAAGACACACGAAGTGAATTATACAACCCACGATACATTGGACCTTTTGAGATCCTTGCCCGAATAGGTCCAGTGGCGTACAGACTGCAGCTACCCGCTGAGCTCCACAACGTACACCCCGTGTTCCATGTATCCAACCTAAAGAAGTGTTTATCCGAAGAAACTCTCGTCATTCCCCTTGATGAAATTGAAATCAGCGAGAATCTCCTGTTCGTCGAAGAACTAGTCGAAATCATGGACAGGGAGGTGAAGCATACCAAGCAAAGTTGCATCCCGATTGTGAAGGTACGGTGGAACACAAAGCGTGAACCAGAATTCAGTGAGAACGTGAAGATCAAATGAAGCAAAAGTACCCTCATCAATTCTAGCATTCTTAAATCTAGCTTCCAAAAGAATTTCGGGACGAAATTCCCTCTAACGGGGGGATAATGTCACAACTAGAAATTTTGGTGCCTTGTAACTACAACACTTATGACAACAATGAATCAAAAACATGAAATCATGCATGATGCTTACTCTATGACAACAAAATTTCAATCAAACACTTCATACAAGCACTACAAATAGTCAACAAACAATTGGAAACCTTAGAAATCCTTGTTTAAGTCCATTTTGGATTAGGATTTCCTTATTGGGCCCAATGGACCAATAAGCTTCCAATTGGACTATCTTGGGCTTAGAACTCTTGAATGGGCTCTAATTGGACCCACTTTCATTTATTTTAATATTTTGGGCCATATTGGGCCTAAATGAAACAAAATATTTAAATTGACCTTATTGGGCCATAACTAACCTTATTTAGCCCTAATAGGTCATAAAAATCATATTCATATTTATTTGGGCCAAAAATCACTCAACATAACTATAAAATCTGGGCTTAAGCATTTAAGCCCAAATACACTTTCTTCCCTCTCCATTCTCGGCCCAAGCCCAAATAAAAGGGAGTTGACTTTTAAGATTTGCCACCTCATTTTTACATGGAGGTCTTCCATGCAATATCTCATGCTTCTATACAACCATCACCTCACACAATCTCTCTTCTCTCCTCTCCTTCTTCCTCTAGGCCGAACCCAAACACACACACCCTCACTTCACTCAAAAATCCTCTCAAGAAACTATCTCATTTCTTCACCAAGTTTTCGAGATTAGGAAGCTTTTCAAGGAAATAATCCCACAAATTCTTCATCTAAGGTAAGATCATGCTTGGATCTATGATCTAGATTCTTTGTTTTATCAAAAATCTCTTCCTAACCCATGCAAAATCATGATCACTCTCTTAGAAACCCTCTAAGTTCGAAATCAACAAAGGAAGGCTTGCTAGGGCTGAAAATAGCACCAAACTTCTCCAAATCTTCTTCAAAACCGATCCACAACTCAAGGTGAGTTTCATACCCCCTTCTTTTCGATTTTTATGAGTTTTTATGGGGGAGAATACAAGTAAATGTGTAGATATATGTGTAAATGTATGCTATGTGTGATTTGATGCATGTATGTGTGTGATATCATGTGTTTGTGATGAATATGTTATCCAAAAAGTGTGTAAAACCGAGATCTAAAACATGAGGAAGGAAATAAACATAAGTTAAACTATTTTACACTAATCCAGTCAAGAAAAATAGTTTATATGGTTAGGATGAACATACTTGAACGTAAAACCCATTTTTGGGCTTAAATTGTCAAAAATACAAAACTTAGGGTCAAAACCGACAAATTATGGTTTCTGGAGGGTCAAAAGGGTCCAAACAGTTTCTATAATAATTTTTCTGAACAAC